CCGTTTCCCCAGAGCAAAAGTTTGAAAGTTTAGATGGAAAATGAATAAGGTGCGTGATTGTTAGTCTTTTGCTACAACTGTCAGGGGACTTGGGGCCATAATTTCCAATTATTTCCCCCTACTTACGAGGATCAGTGGGAACGAGTAGAGTGTTTCTGTGCCCACTAAGTCAAACAGTTGAAGTCAGTATAACCAGAACACGGATATGTGTGGCTATTTTCTAATTGTTTCATCCTGCTTTGCTAGGATGAGTGGGAACAAATCGAACGTCTTTGTGTCCATCAAGTCAAACAGTTGCAGTCAGTATAACTAGAACATGGATATGTGTGGCTATTTTTTAATTGTTTCATCCTGCTTTACTAGGGTCAGTGGGAACAAATCGAACGTCTTTGTATCCACCTAGTCAAACAATTGAAGTCAGTATAACCAGAACATGGATATGTGTGGCTATTTTTTAATTGTTTCATCCTGCTTTACTAGGGTCAGTGGGAACAAATCGAACGTCTTTGTATCCACCTAGTCAAACAATTGAAGTCAGTATAACCAGAACACGGATATGTGTGGCTATTTTTTAATTGTTTCATCTTGCTTTACTAGGATGGGTGGGAACAAATCGAACGTCTTTGTGTCCACCAAGTCAAACAGTTGAAGTCAGTATAACCAGAACATGGATATATGTGGTTATTTTCTTATTGTTTTATTCTGCTTCACGAGGATCAGTGGGAACAATTCGAACGTCTTTGTGTCCACCAAGTCAAACAGTTGCAGTCAGTATAACCAGAACATAGATATATGTGGTTATTTTCTTATTGTTTTATTCTGCTTCACGAGGATCAGTGGAAATAAATCGAACGTCTTTGTGTCCACCAAGTCAAACAGTTGCAGTCAGTATAACCAGAACATGGATATGTGTGGTTATTTTCTTATTGTTTTATTCTGCTTCACGAGGATCAGTGGACATAATTCAAACGTATTTGGGCCTACCAAGTCAAACAGTTGAAGTCAGTATAACCAGAACATGGATATGTGTGGTTATTTTCTTATTGTTTTATTCTGCTTCACGAGGATCAGTGGAAATAAATCGAACGTATTTGTGTCCACCAAGTCAAACAGTTGCAGTCAGTATAACCAGAATTATTACTTGAAATATGTCGTTGTTTAAGTTGGTTCTGCTATAAACAGTAGCTGTTCTTATTACTTGAAATATGTTGTTTTTTAACTTGAATGTGCAATAAACAACACTTGAATGAAACGGTTCTTTTCTTATTTACTTTGGTAGAAAAGCTATACATCCAAAATGATGATTTTTTTAAATCTTTGCTCATAATCATATGACATGTTCAACTGTTAAGCTTTTCCAAACACACATGTCCCCGATTGTTGAAGAACAATGGGTTATTAATTGTGAGGAAGTTATATATTTCTCATGGATATGCACTAACAGCCTTAAATTATCATCTACAAAATTAAAATAACCACACATATCTATGAGAACAGCTACAACTACTCAAAGATAACTGTTTGTATCAAGCTCATTATCATTATAAGTTTTAGAAAATTAAATTGAGCCAGAACATTATAGCTACAGACCACGAATAAAATGATAACACTTAAAACTTCAGACATTTGTGTTTGTTCATTAAGATCGTACTGGCAAAAAATTAAACTTTCGAAAACTTGTCCCCCGCTGGGACGGGAGTAAGTCTACGGATTTACAACGCTAAAATGAGGGGTTCGATTCTCCTCGGTGGACACAGCAGATGGCCCGATGTGGCTTTGCTTTGAAAAACACACTCGTATCTTTCAAAAAACTTCGAGGTATGGATACGAAAAAAAATTGAAGATAGATTCAACGTTCATAAAAGACTGAATACATATATATCATAACAACTACTGAAAAGAACTTGAAAGCCTAGATACATTTGTTTATTTGTTGTTAAGCATAAAACTACACAATTGGTTATCTATACTGTAATCCCAACAAGGATCGAACCTTCTGAGCAGCTATCAAACTTACTGCCGAGCCACCGGGGGACCATCTGGATTCAGAAAGTCTCAGAACGAATGTTATTATACTCTCAAACCAAGCATACAAAAATAATTGCTTATGATTAATGTTTAACGTAAAGAAATAAGACTGTATTTAGAGTCTCGATGAAAGCTTTTCTATAACAAAGCAGTCTTTTCCAAAAGAATGCACAGAAGATACCAGTTTTCAGCTAAACTAAATTTTTTTAAAGATTTAAATGTTATTTGGACATCTCTATAAATGGTTCAAACCCACTTCTTTTCTGCGCGAAACATAATTTCTTCAAGTTTAAAAACAACATTTTAACGGTTGTACAGCTGTTTCGATATCCTAGATGTTATGTGATCGTTGGTAAATGGTAGAACTATTTGTTTGTTGTTAAGCACAAACAGCATAATGAGTTATCTATGCTCTTTCTATTGCAGGGATCGAACTCCGAATTTCATCGTTAAAATTAAAGACCCTTAAGCTTGCGCTGAACCATCGAGGACAAGTGGAAAGAATGGAACATGGTATATACAATTACTACATATGGTAAGGACCCTTGGGAGCATATTCTATATAATTATTTCATGTGGTAAGGGCCCTTGGAAGCATAGTCTATATAATTGTTTCATGTAGTAAGGATGTTTGGGGGGTATAATCTATACAATTGTTTCATGTGATAAGGATTTTTGGGAACATAGTGTGTATGATTATTTCAGGTGATACGAACTTTTGAAAACATAGTCTATTTAATTATTTTATGTGATGCGGACTTTTGGGAGTATAGCCTGTATAATTATTTCATGTGATGAGGACTATTGGGAGCGCAATCTATACATTAATTTAAGTGATAAGGAACCCTCGTATCAAGTTGTAAGAAATATTTGCCCAATTTACTATATACAATAAAATCATCAGCTTTTCAGAATGAGACTTCTTTACCTTTTGAGCAATACAAGTGTAATTGATGAGAAACTCCATTTCCTAAAGCTGGTTTTAGTAACATTGTTGGTTAAAATGTCTGAAATACTTTATAATAGTATTGTTTGTTATCAATTTTATACTTATAAGACTATTAGCTTTATATACGACGCCCCCCCCCCCCAGTGGGACAGCGGTATGTCTGCGGACTTAAAACACTAGAATCCGGGTTTCGATACCCGTGGTGGGCAGAGCACAGATAGCCCATTGTGTAGCTTTGTGCTTAATTACAAACAAACAAACAATTTATATACGATATTAATAGAAACTTAAAGCTACTAAGCTTGTCGAATATCGTGAAATGTTAATGGGTTTATGACTGAAAATATCGTTAATAGAAAGGGCACGCAACTGATGATTCATTGTACAATACTCATGATCGTTTTTTTCTTTTGTATTTGTGTATGAAATATACCATAGTGTATAAAATATACAATGTTTCGAAACATTATGTTACTTAAATTTACTTAAAAACAACCTGGTACAAAAATTTTCGAAAGTTTTCTCACCTTTTAATCCTTTTACGTCTTCTAAATTTGTGATTGGCTCGATTGAAACTAAACCTCTCCCGAAGGTTCACTTTTGTTGTTACGTGTTCGTTTCACTATTAAAACAACGCGAATTTCTGCTAATCATTTACTAGACTCAACGGATAACCAATTAACATCAATCTCAAATGTATAACAAACGCGATACAATAACACAAACACTGTCATTTCCTCGTTACATGCCGCGACTTTTGTGTAAGTGAGTAATGGGAATAATTAAATAAGCGCGTTGTGGACAAACTTGTACTTCAAGGAGAGCAGGGTCATTAATGTGTACCTGTATAGCTAGCTGTTTGTTATGATTTTCATACCAGGCTTACTTCCTAGACTCCGCCTGTTTGAGTTTGATATTAATACAAGGTCACCCCAATCCTTAATCCTTCTTCATAATACTTGTACTCAAACGAGTGGTGGTGAAACGTGGAGTTTTTAAAGAACTTTCATACGGAACGGTGCTTCACATATATTAGGATTTACAGAATTCCTAGTTTTTATTATTTTTCAACTCAAAATTTGATAACGATGTCTTCTATATGAAGCTACAGGTAGCTTTTCGTAGAATATTGCATATTGATTAGCTAGATAAGCCTTTTTTTCAAACAATGGCTTTCGCGCACTCTTGGTTAAGACATTTCTACAAGGCTTAGCAAGACCTGCGAGGGTTTTTACTTTTCTTGTTACCCTCTCCTTGAACTGGCTCGTGGCTGTCTTTTTAATTAGTAATTATTAAACGATTGAAAATAACTTGGTAACCACTCCGGCTTTTCATTCGCTGTATATCGGTAAGGTAGAATACTCTGGTCAATTACTGAGATGCGCTGTTGTAGAATGCGCGTTAAGCGTGTAATAATAACTTCGTTATTGCAGCTGTTAAAACTGAAAGTAGGTCAGGTAAACAAATACCACAGGAGGCATGACTGTTAAAACTGACATAGGTAATGTAAACAAACACTACATCAAAGAGGGCTGTTAAAACTGAAGCTAGATCATGTAAACAAATACCACAGGAGGCATGACTGTTAAAACTGACATAGGTAATGTAAACAAACACTACATCAAAGGTGGCTGTTAAAACTGAAGCTAGATCATGTAAACAAATACAACATAAGAGATGGCTGTTAAAACTGAAATAGGTAATGTAAACAAATACTGCAAAAGACATAGCTGTTAAAACTGCAGTTAGTTCATGTAAACAAATACTGCAGGAGACATTGCTGTTAAAAATGAAATTATATCATGTAAATAAACACTACAGGAGACATGGGTGTTAAAACTGAAGTTAAGTCGTGTGAAGAGATACTGCAGGAAGCGTAGGAGTTAAAACTGAAAATAAGCCATGTAAATTAATAATGCAGAAGACGTGTCGATTAAAAACTAAAGTAGGTCCTGTAAACTTGGGTTCCTCGAACATAATAGATATATAAACTAACTCTAGACTAAAATTTCTAAGACTTGATTAATAAAATTGTAGGTAGTTTTACTGACAATTTTACAAGCTGTTCTCGTCGTTATAATGATTTAAAACTTATTTCCAAAAGTAGTTTTACTATTTTGTATTGTGGTCAGTTCTAGAGTCTGTTTCTGATCACCTGTGAGCTTGATATCAGTGGTTTTCACAGAACTCTGAACCTCATTTCAACTACCTTCATCCCTTACATAACTCCGAACCTCACAAGCTTTATCTAGCTTCATCTCTTACTGAACTTTGAACTTCGCTTTATCTATCTTCATCTCTTACTAAACTTTGAACCTCACTTTATCTATCTTCATCCCTTACTGAACTTTGAACCTCACCATATCTATCTTCATCCTTTGCTGAACTCTGAATCTCATTTGTGTGAAAATGATAAAATAAACTAAACTAACTAATTAGATGCACGAGCCCACGAACCCTAAATGGACGAATTTACATCATTCATTAAACATGAATAATGAACTTCTAGGTTGGAGGTGCTGATCTTTGTTTTCATTTCCCGCTCAAACTATAAAACTCCCAAATAATCGGCGCCATAACAAATGCTAAGAATCAGGTTTTTAATGGATGTTTTTGGGACTTACAGAAGACTCAGATGTGGTTACACTAAATTAAAGTAATTATCACAAATAAAACTAGTCGTTCTTCCGCACAATAAAAAGCTTCAGATTTTACCTTTATTAGATAAAAAAAAAGTTATTTTTATTTAATTTCGTATAAAAAATTGCAAATTTTGATTTTGGGTTGATTTCAGTGCACTCCGAACGAATCCATTAGTGTTTGTGAATTTCCTGAATTTATTTTAGAATAATACGGAATTCGTAATTCCCTAGCTGGAAAGTTATAGTAGATTGAACGAAATATTGCTAATTTGATCTTGTAACTTGAATACAAGTGTAGTTTTATCGATTTTTAGACAATCACCGTTTCACAATCTCGATTGTCATTGTTATGGTGTAATTACCTGTTATCTCAACTTCGAGATGTCATAAGCCAGTGATCTCAACAAGTAATTAAAACTCTTTTTCTGGTATTTTTAACTGCATCAGCCAATAAGGATTCCAATTAATCGGATATTCACGTAGCGAACGGAATAGTGATAAAATATAATCTTGATGACATGTTGCTAGAACAACTTCTACCATGATTACAGTCTTATTGTTTGTTTGTTTTATTAATTCATGGTTCATTTGGAATATGATATTACAGTGTGATAGTAAAATATATAATTTAATTTCTGTAGTGCATATAAAAGACATTTTAATACTAGTGATAACAGATCTTATAACACCAATTTTGTTTTGTTTTTTTCTTTAATTGGACACTCAGCGTTTCGCTTTACAGCTTCTTCAGGAGCGTTGTGCTAAAACACAAACCTTAACTTATTGTTGTTATGATGAAAACAAAACAAAACAATTATAATTATAAGTGTCCATTTTTTTGTTTTTATTACTCTATGGTCGTATTTTTCGATGAGAAAAACTTCTTTAAATTTTCCCTTAGTGTACTTGATGGATTTGATAAGAATTTGAACAAAGAATGGTGTGTTCATTCCAGGAGTTATTTGTCCGTGATCAGTTAAAAAATATCTGCAGCTACACTTCTCTCATGCTGTTTATAAAGAGAGTTAATGTGCTCTCTTATTCACGAGTGTAGGGATTTTCTGATTTCTCCGATGTACGTAAGACGG